AGGAGTTCAAAGCCACACTGGGCTACATGAGATTTCACCAGTCTAAAGAAGAAACAGAACTCACACCTTTGATCCCAGCACTACAGAGGTGGAGACAGAAAGGGATAAGGCTGGGTAGAGAGGAGAATTTAAGGCGGAGGAGACAGGAACTAAGCCCTCTGGTCTGAGGATTTGATACAGGTAAGAAGTCTCTAATGGCTGGCTCCTTTACTTCTCTGATCTTTCAGCATTTACCCCGATACCTGACCTGGGTTTTTATTATTAAGACCAATTAGAACTCCAGCTACACTCCTGCCTCAACTTCCAGAGTGTTGGAATTATAAATGTGAGTCACCATGCCCAGCTTGTTACTTCTCCAAAGGGGGAAAAGAAAGACACCATAAGATTACAGAAAATGCACAATCAAGAGAACAATGGAAGAAGTCACAAAGAAAAAGGCATATAATATATAAAATGTTTAAACTTTTGCCCATAAGAATCATTGAGTAAAATTTTGTTTCTGCTAATGGCTTACTCAATTTTTTAATGGTTATAAATTGTTTATTTCTGGAATTTAAAATTTGATATTTTCAAACTACAGCTAACAGAAACTACAAAAAGCAGAACCATGAATAAGGGATAGATGTCTATTTTGCTGTTATTCTGGAAAATATGCATAGGATACAGTCTTGTATGAAACAAAACATTTCATATTTCTCATTTCTGAAATTTGAAGGTTAATTGTATATAGTGAAGGACTATTATTTTTTCCTACTTCATGTAATTATTCTTTATATAATTTCATGTCTAAAGTAGATGGGAATTTTTTAAACCATGACTTTAATTTTTTCAGTATGTTTTTTATTTAAATTGGAAGCATGCATGCTTCAAATGTCAATCCCAGCTCCCCCCCCTTCTCCCTCCACCAGCACCATCCCCACCCCCCCACCCCCAGCCCAATCCTCACATCATTCCCCAGGGAGGATGAGGCCCTCCTTGGGGGTATCTCCAGAGTCTGTCATTTCATCCAGGGCAGGACCTAGGCCTTTCCCCATGTGTCCAGGCTGAGAGAGCATCCCTCCATGTGGAATGGGCTCCCAAAGTTCATTTGTATGCCATGGTGAACACTAGTCTATCATCCAAGGCCCCAGAGATTTCTGAGGCCTCCTCAACAGGGGACTGATCCAGGCTTACTCATTTTTAAAAGTATGTCCCTCACTTTGGGCAAGTCAGCTATAAACTATTATCTCAATACTTGTGCAATGGACACTCAGATGCTAAAACCTTACCAAGCCCCAAAGTCACAGTTTTAAGTCAAGAGGGCAAAACCCTCCTAAATGGGTTTATCATCCTCACAAAACAGGCCCAAGGAAATTGTCCTTTGTCCCCTGAGAGGACACAGCAAAGGTGCCTTCTTCAGATGCCGTATCAGCCTGTACCTTGCTAGCACCCAGAACCATACAGGATAAATGTTTTCAAGGCACCCAGTTGTATGATATTTTGTTATAGCACCCTTAATGGACAAAGGCATTGCCTCCCAATCTGTAAAAATAGCACAACAATATGGCTCTACTACTGAAAGTTGTGCAAAGATTTGGTGGCACATAGCATACTGTCATAAAAATGTCTCACTTGAGCCACAGAGTAAATTCAAGGCGAGACTAGGCAAGCTGATCTCAAAATATGGAGTATCACTATGAACAAGGTTCTAGTTGATCTAGTTCAGTAGTATAGCACCTGTCATGCACACACAAAGCCCCGGGTTCAATTCCTAGTACACAGCAAAAGAAGAGGAGGAGGAAGAAGACGAGGAGAAAGACAACCAAGAATAGACAAGTCAGCTTCGGAATTGGGATCTCTGCCATCTGGAATGACTACTGCCTCATAATCCATTGGGCAGTAAAAACAAACATGGCTGGGATCAAATGTTTACACAGGGAAGACAGGGCTGCAAAGGCTCAGGACTCAGGCAAACTCAGATTGACCCCCCTTCTTCAGATGGTTCCAACAGCGTCCTCACTTTATTCCAGGCCTCTTTTTGCCCTTGGTGACATCGCCTGAAGCATTCCTACTTGAAGTATTAACTTTATATAAATGAATAACTTCCTTTAGTTGTCTCCAAAAATCACCTGAAATTCTTCCTAGCCAGTGCCAATGGCTAGCTTTTTTAAATCACACAAGCAAATTTTTAATCATTAACTGTACAACTATGCGTGAATGTCAAAATTCAAATAGTGAAAAGGAAAACGTTCCACCTTTGCCATCCATCTTCCTTCACAGAGGCACTACCATTAGGTTCCTTATACATTGCTCCCCACAGGCTGAGCTGGCTCTCTGTAGTTTTTTCACCCACATAGTCATGCACTCTATTCTACTGTATATGTACGTATGTGTCTTGCTTTGCTCAGTCTTCTAACTTGGCATTAGTTCATTTACGATGAATCCACACTTTCTACAAGTTACAAAGAATTCTACCACATGACTTCAGTTACAAATCTCCTATGTTTCTATATTCTGGTTACTTAATGTTTTTATTGTTGTTGGTACACCAAAGCCACACCGTTCTTATAAACACATCTTGGTAGATAAAACTCTGATCCGTATATTATATTTTTACAAATGAAGTTACCAGAGCAGTTACTTCCGATCACAACTGTAACCTGCAGGACTCATGAATTAGGTCAAATACTTTAGGTAGCCATTAGTGTCTCTTTCTACTCCACCGACACTTTCTGGATCACTGGATCCTAAAACGACACTTAGGAAAGTTACTGGTATCCTCACCTCTTGGACCATGAACCTCCTCCATTTAGTAACATTTGATACCAACAGCTGCTACAACCTTCAGGGGACTCTCGCTCCTGTCAGAACAATGTACTGTGCTGGTTCATTTCCTAGGCAGCCAGCCCTTCTCACTGGAATCCTAAAGATAGGCACAGCCAATCTCAACTCCCATGATCCTCTATCCACATGTTCCTCTATAGATTTCCACATGATAATTCAGAAGCATGGAAACTTTACCAGGATTCCAACCAACTCAAGCAAGAAACATGATGTCCTGGTCCCCACACTTCAAAGAACAAGTTAAACATGCTGCACCACTCACTGTCTGGACACCGAGTTGGTAACTCACTTACTAGACTTCATGCATGTCTGAACAACAAAGAATGCTCTCCTTAAACCTTTCCAGCTCCTTGAACATCACACTTGAGCTAGTGACTCTCACACTCTCCCCTTCCCTCTTATTTCCATACAATGAGTGGCCAGATTCTACCAAGTCTACCAGGGGACTGTCTTGGTGTATCTACCCCACCTTCCCATTTCCACCTTTGGAAATGCTTCCTTAACTTCTGTCCCAATCCTGAAGCCACCAGCATTACACATCTGTCTGCCTACTCAAGGTATATGTCTTCTCTAATTGTGTCCTGCTTCCATGGGCCTGGACACAAAGCCTACACCAACAAGACACTAAACTCATAGCACCCCTTCCAGAAGGTCCAAGTTGAGCAATCTTGTCAGTGTACCATCAACCCTCCCTCATTAGACAGTGGGTCCTAGAAGACACTTACCAACACTTCGTCTGCCTTCTATTCCAGAGCCCAGCATAATGCAGTACATTTGTATATATTTAATAACTTTTTCTAAAGTTATCTGATACTATTTTCTAGCACATGTTCATATTATTCCAAAAAAAGAACTCCTTACAATGTAAATCCTTACTAAAGAAAACTATTTTTTTTTTTTGGTTTTTACGAGACAGGGTTTCTCTGTATTGTTTTGGAGGCTGTCAGTCCAGCCCAGCCTCGAACTCACAGAGTTCCGACTGCCTCTGCCTCCCGAGTGCTGGGATTAAAGGCGTGCGCCACCAACGCCCGGCAAGAAAACTATTTTTTAAATCATCTAAAAGACTCTGGGGTCTATTTGTCCTGTGTGAGTGGGTGTGTAAAGAAACAAATATCCTGGGACTCTCTTATACACATACTCATGAACCATATACACATCAAACTCCCTAAAAAGCTTTAGAAGTAACTTGAAAGTTATACACACAAAACTCATGGTCTTCCAAAAGACTGGTATTTAGTGGTTATATATCAGGATAATGGCTCTTCTACTTGTAGTCGACAGGAAAACAGATTCAAGAGACACCAGTAAGATCTCTTGATTTTATGGTCTTCTGGTGCCCTAGTCAGCTGCCAGAACCAGCAAACACTGAGTCCCAGAAGTTGACAATATGACTCAGGGAGAAAGGCCATATGGTACGTCAAATGTCCAAGAAGTGAGACAGCAATAAATATAAATACTTTTGTGTGACCTCTGCCCAACAACTTGGAGGGCATCCACTTAGCTGTACTTCATTCTTTGAAGTTAAACCCATTTTAAAGTTAACTTTCTCAAAGTAGACGCTGATGAGGAAGTCAGTGAAAATGTTTTCAGAAAGTCAAAAGAGGAGTCACGCTGCAAAGTACGAACTGTAGGAAAATATAAGAGGTTGCACTCTGCATACATTCTCCATTTGTGCCCCCTTAACATCAGCATTGCCACGTGACTCTCCTTCAAGGAGTCAAAAGTTTGTTAAGTTTCCTCATCCCCCATGTAAACCTTAAGAACTGCTAAATTACTGACTGGGTCCACGTTCAGGGACAGGAAAGCCTCTCCAGATTAAAAAGTAGCAAGGCACTTGGGACCGTCCGAGTTGGCACAAATGAGGGTGTGCCTGACAGCTCGGGGGACCCCTCACACTTCCATGATCCCCCAAATATTTCACTTCACGAACGTGGTCCCTTGGTGTTTTTTAAAGGGCGAAGCAAGCCTCACGTTACTGGGATGGGTACGTGTGTGGGAATCTCCCCAGGCTCGCCAACACTTTCCCTCAGAGTCCCTTCCAACACTGGAGACCTTTCCTCCTCCGGGCCGCCAGGCAGGGCCAGGTGGGTCAGATCTGCCTGTGAGGGGGGCTGGAGACCGGCGGGCTGCCCAGGGCTAGGGTGTGGCGAGGGTGGGGGGCGGGAGGCCCCACTCACCTGCGATTCATGGGCCGGACTCTCACGGCCACCTTGACCGATGCCATGGCTCATCCCGGCCCGGCCCGCGGGGGCTCGCACCAAGCCTGCACCCCGCGGCCGCCGGCCACTCCAGCGACAGTGCCCGCGCCCCCGCCCACTTCCCTCTCTCCCGCCCTTCGGGACGGGCCGACCTGGAGTCGCTAGGCGGCCACACCTGCCAGGCCACTGAGCATGCCCAGAGCAGCTCCCGCCCGCGTGATCCGCGCACCGGGGTTTGGCAGCTGCCCACGGCGCGAAGGGGCGGGACCCGGAAGCCTGGGCACCGCCTCCTGTGTGGCCTCGCCTTGAAGTCAACGGCATCCAACAGTGCGAACTCACCGGGAAAGATAAACCCAATTAGGCCCTGGGAGACTGGGAAAGGAAGATGACTGTATTTTTGAACATTCTCAAGGAATCCGAGGAAAAGATGACTAAAAACGGGCTTTGCAACCATTAACATGGATCTGGCTTTATTCAGCCCGTGCTAGTCAACTCATCTGTCTTGCTGAGAAGTAGTCATAAAATCGTAGTTGTGGACAACTAGTAAGGACTTATCTGATTCTTTAGAAAGGTCTAAGCATGTGTTTTGAACCCCACAACTTAGGGTGCTAAGGAAACAAAAGATTGAGGATGTCTTAGGAAGATAGAAATGTTGTATTGGCTGGTAATATATCTAAGGAGTTTTCCCATTTTTGTGAGTTTAGCAATTTAACTTTGGTCATTGGCTGATCAAAAGTGAGGACACCCGCTTTCTTTTTTAAGAAAGCCTTTAGCATCAATAATAACCTCTTAAGACCAGACTCTCCTCCCTGTCATCTTACAATCTTAAGCACCTAGTTAACCTGCTGGTCACAAAAACTCCTGCATCAACCCTGTCTCCCCCCCTGCCCCATTCAGGGAGCTCAGGACTTACAGACCAGCCCTCCTCTAGGACCCTGACCTTGCCTCTGGACTTGCTGATAAATGTGTAGAAGACAAGCCTACTGACTAACACGACCTCTCCCTCCAGGTCTCTAACCCAGTCACAATGGAACATTGTGCCCTCGGGACCTTCATATCCCCGCTGCTACTTCACACTCCCGGACACAAGACTCGGGTTCAAATGGGCTCTTCTAGAAAGCATGGTTGTGCTGCTCCCGCACTCCCTGAGGGAAGCCAAAGCGGGCTCCCGGTGGTTGGCTCCAGAGTCTTCCAGTCTGCCTTAGCGGGCGCACAACTCTGAGGCTCGTCTGCAGATCTAGAACTCCCAAGGGTTTAGAAAATGGATTAAGTGAGATGGCAGGTCTGCCAACATGTTGTCCACTAACTCCTCCAGGAATCGTCATCTCATCGGCTTTCCTAGAATCCCACAAGCTAAGTTAGAACCCGAGTGCTCTCTTTGTTCTGGGCGCTACAAAGCAGGGACGCAACTGCTTGGGTAACTCAGAGATGTGTGCAGAGTCAACCACTCAAGGGCGGAAAAACTCGGAGTGCTGGAATTGGTGAGCCTGCGCAGTAGCAGAAGCTGCAGGCTCCTCCAGGAGCTGAGGTTAGCCAAGCAGCTCGCGGCTTTGGTAGCTACCCGGCTGGGGCGGAGCCCGCCGTCTACGGGAGCTGTATGGGGACAAACTGCAAGACCGCTCTCAGGCAGGCGGGACTTCAAACACTGAAAACCAGTTGCAGAGTTCACCGCTACAACAACCAAGAACAGGTTTAAGAACTCTGTACTCAACGGCCCCAAAATTCACCCCACCCTTAAAGACGACAGCTGTAGTTTACTTACTACAGTGATTTCCTGTACCTGATTTTTCTTTGAATTTGGGGTTATGTAGGCCGGTCTGTCCATTATTTCCAGCAGCCTGCTTATTCATAATCCTCCTCTACTTCCAACACATAGCTGTTGGTCACAAAACCGACAAGGTGTTTCGGGCCACTGCACCCAAACAGCAGGCCTGAAGATTTTAAGTTAGAAGCAGCGAGGTTTCTCGCCACAGACCTGACTGAACAGGCACTCCCTTGATTAATTTACTCCTTGCACTTCGAAGAAAGAAAAAAATTACAGAGTGAAAGGGAGGATTATAAAATAAGGCGCTTGCTCTTCTTCGCAAACTTTAGTTGAATGCTCTGGTATCCCTTTTGTTTCTGTCTTTAGACATTTTAGACAGCCTTCCAGGACTTCGCCTGCACAGAAGCATCCTCTGGAAGTTAAGTGTAGGGATGTGCAAATGCTAAGCACAGCATCAGTGTGGATACGGACACCTGCCAGGAGGGCAGCGACTCAGAAGAGATGCTGAACCATCTTGAAAGTCCCTAAGCTTGTCTGGGGGGGGGATCTCTATATAGTTGACCCTAGTAAAAGGTGCAGCTACAGTGATAGCGGAGAGTGGAGAGTTCAACGGTATTAGAAATCATCGAACTGTTGTAACTCTCTCAAATTTTGACTTTGGGATTGTGCCAGTTGTTTATTTGTTTTTGTTTTTCGAGACAGGGTTTCTCAGTATTGTTTTGGAGGCTGTCCTGGAACTCGCTCTGTAGACCAGGCTGGCCTCAAGCTCACAGAGATCCGCCTGTCTCTGCCTCCGAGTGCTGGGATTAAAGGAGTGCACCACCAACGCCCAGCCAAGGGACTCTGCTAGTTGTGAAACTGATAAAGTACATAATGACGTCCTCACATTCATTTTCTATATTTTAGTTGGTTTTTTCTTTTTTTTTTGGTTTTTTTCGAGACAGGGTTTCTCTGTATCGTTTTGGAGGCTGTCCTGGAACTCGCTCATGTAGACCAGGCTGGCCTCGAACTCACAGAGATCCACCTGCCTCAGCCTCCCAAGTGCTGGGATTAAAAGCATGCACCACCAACGCCCGGCTATATTTTAGTTCTTGTATTTCAGAAAAACTGATTTTTCTTTTGGATTTCATATCGTTTATTTGATGGATTTCAAAATCTTATTCTGGGGCTGGAGAGATGTCACAGCAGTTAAGAGCATTGGCTGCTTTCACGTGAGATAAGAATTCAATTGCCAGCTGTCAGCACTGACATCCGGCAGCTCACAACCACCTGTAACTTCACACCAAGTGATCCAATATCAGGCTTGCATGTGTGCGCACGCGCACATACACACACACACACACACACACACACACACACAATCAAAAGTAAATATTAAAAATTTTTCAAAGTAGAATTAAATGTCACCAATAAGGCTTATGTGTGGGGACAACAGACCTTGGCCAGAGACCTACTTCCCCATCAGCCTGGGACCAGGCAGCTGTAAGACAATGTTTACTAAAAACATGTTTACTAAAAACAATACAATGCCCGGGGCAATAAGTTCCTGAAAAGGGCTTGCCCACTGAACACCCTGACCTCGACCTTTTCAAAAGACTAACCGCCTCTTCAGAACCACCCAATACAGTCTCTGGTGTCAGGGTAGAAACAGCCAGGGGTAAGACAGGGAGCAGAAGCTTTTCTGGAAGGAAGCCTTTCTTGGGAAGTCTTCTTGAGCCTTTTTGGGGCCTGCTTAAAGTTTTCTTTACATCGTTGACTGGTCTCTGTGTTAACAATCCCCACACCCTCCGCACATTCTCGGATACAGGCTGCGCAGTGGGCACGTCACTCATGAATGTGTATAGGCATGTATGTGTATGATTTTGTTTGCCTGTTTTGGTATAACATTCTGATATTCATTTATTGTTGAACTTCTTCCTAACTTTAGTAAGCAATCTTATCATTTCCAAATAGGTGTCATGATTTGAAGCCCTTAAGTCTTCACAAACTTCAGTACAAAGTGGGAAAACCTGCACCACCACGTAGACTCCACTTCAAAGTATTTGAATCAGTTGAAGAAGCCATTATCAGAGGGAAAATATTATGTTCTCATTAGTTACGCCTTATTCTTTTTCTAGCTTCTAGAGAATAAAATGGATTTGCTCTTTTACAAACAAGACCTTTCAGAAATGTTGACAAACAAATTGACACATTTAAGTTGGGATAGAAGATGTAACTGACATCTCATAAGCAAATCTGTTTTCCAAGTGCTATATAAGTACTACCTATAATCATTATCTACACTGTATGCTTAATATCTCCTTGCAGGAAGAGCTGCCCTTGAACTTAGGAGTTGCTATGCAGTTCTGGTTAGATATTTTATTTTATCTTTTTGGTCAACTTGACTGTTGTCACCCTCTGTAGTAGCCTTACATCGTGATGCCAATATGTCATAGCCCATCTTTGTGGGGCTTCAGTAGGATCCAGCCAACTTGCCAGGTTCTTACCTGAGAAGGGGAGTGTTGATTGAGAAATGGTTTAAGAAAAAGACAGACACAGAACACAGTTGAGAGGGCAATCCAGTAAGTACTGGATGCCCCAAGTTTATCCTTCAATATTCTTTTTTTTTTTTTTTTTGGTTTTTCGAGACAGGGTTTCTCTGTGGCTTTGGAGGCTGTCCTGGAACTCGCTCTGTAGACCAAGCTGGCCTCGAACTCACAGAGATCCGCCCGCCTCTGCCTCCCGAGTGCTGGGATTAAAGGTGTGCGCCACCAACGCCTCAACATTCTTAAGTACCCCAACCAAAAGAGGAACATGACAAAAGACTTCTTTATCATATATAAGGAACAAACAGACTTTCTTCCCTTAATTCTCCAAACCACACCTTAGACTCAATTTCCCTTTATCCAGCCTTGAGGGTCAAGAGTAATCATACCTCAGACCAAGTCTGTTGTTATCTAGTAAGACATTTACTACCAAGATCAAATCATCTTACAGTAGCCATGCTTTAGGCTTGTAGGTCTTATGACTTTAACCTAGGAAGACTAAGGAGAGTTTTGAACTCTCTGACCTTGAACCAAGATGAAGAGGAACCATTTTATTGGCCCTAACACTTGACACAATCTAAAAGTAATAATAATAATAATAATACCTCCATAATAATAAATTACCTCCATGATAATAAAATTACCACCGATCGGTGGTGGTGCATGCTTTTAATCCCAGCACTCAGGAGACAGAAGCAGGTGAATCTCTGTGAGCTCAAGGCCAGCCTGGTCTACAAGAGCTAGCTCCAGGACAGCCACCAAAGCCACAGAGAAACCATGCCTCAAAAAACCAAAATAATAATAATAAAGTTACCTCTATAAATAATACCTCCATCAGATTGGCCTTTAGGGATGTCTATAAAGCATTTTCTG